AGATTGGCCTCTAAACATGGAAACAAAAAGAATATCATTTTACTCATTAAAAGGAAACTATAATTTATCAACACACATTTCTTCATGTGAAAGCAATCATTTATTACTGTCAATACACTTTCATTTATCTTCCTGTCACGATACCACATATCTCCTTAATATTTTGGAACAATTTCTGCATATTAGTCGTCCATTAATGACATCACCATCCGTATGTCTTGTGTGATTCGTTGCGTGTTTTCAAATTTTGCTAGATTTTCCTATTTGCAGATTATTAAACAACGTCATATATTACACCCAGTGCCAAGTGAAGCAATCGACATGCTGTGTATGTTGTAATGCTGTATTGCTCCATTTTACAAATTAAGAATGGATACAAAATTACTGACTGTTAAAAAAGTAGCGGGTCGAGTCAATGACATACGTCAAAGTCCAAGTCAAATTGTCATATTTTAAAAATATGTACAATATATAACAGTCTCCTCCTCGTAAGGAAACTAAAAGGTTAATTAAAAACACAACACACAGTACTTACAAGTTTAGCCTTCCAGGTTTTTTAATTGTGCTTGAATACGGGGTTGTGAAAAGCAATATTCTGGGAGCATTGGATTTTAGGATTTAGGTTCTGCGACAGATCCTTGAAAAAACAAGTGAATATAACATCGACACATATCATCTCTTCATAGACTTCGAAAGCGCATATGACAATATAAACCGAGAATTCCTAACAAAAGCAATGAAAGAATTTAATATACCAACACAGCTAATAGAATTGATAAAAGAAACACTAAAAGTAGAAAGTAAAATCCGGATACAAAACGAATTAACGGAAACAATAGATGTGAAGAAGGGACTACGCCAGGGAGACGCTCTATCATGTATATTATTCAACATCATACTTGAAAAAATAATAAGAGACACAACAGTTAATACCCGAGGAACAATAATTAATAAAAGCGTGCAAGTACTAGCATTTGCAGATGATGTTGACATAATCGCAAGATCAAGAAGAGAAATGATAGACGCATTCACTTAAATAGAACGAGCTGCAAAAAATAGTGGTAGCAAAAAAAAATCAGACAAAAACAAACTATATGCCTGCAAATAAAAACGCACAAATAAGGCAGCTGCCAAATTTAACAATAGAAGAATACAACATTGAGGCGGTAAAAAACTTTACATACTTAGGATCCCTAGTTACGTCTGATAACAACGTTGCAGAGGAAGTGAAGAGGAGAATATTTATTGCCAATAAATGTTACCATGGCTTAATTAGGCAACTAAGATCAGATAACGTCTCCAGAAAAACAAAATGCCAAATATACAAAACCTTAATAAGACCGTACTCACATACGGTTTAGAAACCTGGACACTCTCTAAAAGGGAGGAAACGTTATTAGCCACCTTTGAAAGAAAAATCTTGCGACACATATATAAGGGAACAAAAGAAAACGGATTTTGGCGGAGAAGGTATAACTTTGAACTATACAACATATACCAGGATCCGGATATCATAACTATTCATTAAAATAGGAAGGCTACGTTGGATTGGAACATGTGGAAAGAATGAAAGAAGGCGAAATACCAAACAAAATATTCAAACAAGTGCCAGTAGGAAAAAGAACAAGAGGAAGACCGAAGCTGAGATACGTAGAACAAATAGAAAATGATATAAACAACATTAAAAATTAAAAACTGGAAAAAAAGCACGAAACAGGTCAGAATGGAGAAGAATCCTTGAACAGGCCAAGACCCAAAAAGGGTTGTCGAGCCAGTGATGATGATGATTGGATTTTAGGAAGTGTAGGAACTTACAAATTACAAAAGAACTGGAAGAGAAGTGATTAAAAATACTAATTAACAATGGCTAAGCTTAGAGGAACAAATTTAAGTGGTTAAAGAAACACAAAATCTTAAGTGAATGTTCGGGCTAACTTTTCTACACTAAGGGTTGGCTGAGAGATAAAACGACAAATATACGGAATAATGAAATTATATAGATAAGGGAGAAAATGAGATGTTTTAACACCAAAATTTAATTAAATGATTGAAGACAACTGGAAATATAAGGTTACAAAAAGGTACTATACGAAGATATATGGAGTTGCCTAAGAAAAGGATGAGGGCGCCACTCAAGAATAGCTTGAGAATTTCAAAGTAATGAACCACAAAGATTACAATTGATACACAAACCTGAAATACTTAAAAAAAACTCCCTATTTACCTTGTCTTGCTATAAAATATACTCGTTAGTAGAAACTGAAATAAAAAGCCAAAATACTAATGACAAATAAATTACCACCATCTCATCCGTGGTCTTCCTCTTGGTCGTTTACTTTCGTAAGGTCTCCAATGTTATATTGTAGGAAAAAACAATAATAACTTTTAATATAATAAGAATAATAATCAACAATATGAGACAATCATATAATAATAATAGATATACTTTGATGGTACACAATGGCAAGTATCGAACACAGTATTTAATCAAATCTTGCCCAAGTACTTTCGATCACAAGATCATCTTCAGGGGCATTTCGTCAGTTGTGGCCTATCCAGCAGTAACAGAGTGTCATAAAAGTAAATTGGGACATAACAAATACACTAAACAAAGACAAACAAACACTTCATCACACTTGATCACACGTGATCGAAAGTACTTGGGCAAGATTTGATTAAATACTGTGTTCGATATTTGCCTTGTGTACCATCAAAGTTTATTTATTCGAACATTCAACCTTATATTGATTTAATAATAGATATGGTAATAATATGCAAAATTTTAATAACAACAATAATAATCAAAATAGACAAAATTAGACAATATTAGTTACAATAGACAAAATGTTTAATAACAATACTAATTATAATAGACAAGATTTTAATAATAGGAGAAATACAGAACGACCTAATTACAACAGACAGGTAAATTATGTACGAAGGAATAGAAGCTGCGAAGATAGTGAACGAAATAGTACAAGGTAAGAAAATATGAGTAGAAGTCATAGTAGTGAAAGAAACAGGACATTAGTCCAAGTGGTCAGACACAATCTGACAATTCTAACAATCCAAATTTTGTTGCAGTAAACTTTCTGAATTACAAGTTGGGCCATTGCCATTATGAAAAACCTTCTGAATTTATTTCTTTAGACGAAGATAAAATTATTGAATCTATTAATTTAATTTATATAAATGCTTTGGCCAAAAATAAATAGATTAAGATTATGATAGATACTGGTTCAGAAAGTACTTTAGTCTCGGAAAATTTTATTTTTAATACATTAAAACTATCAGATATAATAAAGATTCCAAAAATTAAATTGTTGGTGCAAATAATAAGAAGTTGGGTGAAATTGATAAACTAAGCCAATTTTAAAATTAATATTCTTAATAAAGAAATTAATATGCAAGGATTTATTGTCAAGGATTTATGTGTTGATATATTAATGGGAAATGACGAATTGGAAAAGAAGAAAGTAAAGATAGATTTTGAAGAAAAAATTGTAACTTTGGAAGGGCAAATAATTAAGTTTATGCAGAAAGATGAGGTGGAAGAAGAAATAAGAGTTGATAGGATATTATTAAAAGAAAGCAATGATGTTTATGAAGAAGAAATGTATTTTGATGATAGGGAGATGTCCCAAAAGAATGTGAAGAATAATTGTAGTGAATATTTAAGGAATGGAAATTTTAAGCAGATGGATGCCTACGAGGTGGAGTGCGTAAAACTGGAAGCAAGGAATAATGATTACATAATGAAAAATAATTTTATTTGTAAAGAAGAAGATATGATAAAAGTTTTAAGTTGCCCTGATAGAATATAAATCAATAGTCGTTTCCATATTGCAGCAACACAAGGGACTTGTCAATAAAGAAAATAGAATTGCACAAAATTAATATCAAAGTAGTATAAAAGTTAAAGAAAAAAAGATTTTAAAACAAAATCATACCCAATACCATATAAATACAGAGAAGAAGTAAACAGAACGATTAATAATATGTTAGAAGATGAAATCATTGAGAAGGCAGATACACGTTTTATAAACCCTATAGTAGTAGTACGTAAAAGATCAGGTGAAATCAGGCTATGTTTGGAGCAAGGAATATTAACAAGATCACTGAAAAGCAATTTGAATCACCAATTAGTATAGATGGAATACAAGGAAGAATTACAGGAATGTCATTTTTCACTAAAATCGATTTACAGCATACGTTTAAAAAAGTACTTACAAACTAATTCTTTGGAAACCGCGATAAAAACCCTATACTTTATATATGTTATTTTAAAATACTCATTACTCATACACAAACAAAACATTATAGCAATATATATATATATTATATATATATATATATATATATATATGATATATATATATAGTATTATTTTCTACAATATACGAGTACTAATTTAACTACTTAAGCTTAAATTCACGTAGTAAGTAAAACATCTATTAAATTATATTTGAATTTCAACAGTTCGTTTTATCCGCAAGCATTTTGAAAATTTAGCACAAGATGACGTCATGCGCGAGATGTACGAGTTTAGTGCTTGGGAATATCATATCTTGTATCCATATATTATGAGTTTACCTGTTATTTACAAGGTCATAGCTCTTGTCAAAATCCATTACCTATAAATATTCGTTTCTTTGTCTCTGGCTTTCGGCCTGCAGCAAGAGATTCAATTTCATAAATACTCAATTATCCTCCTATAACTAAGTTGTTTTTAAACTAAAGTTTAAGAATGTTTTTATAATACTTGGTAATTGCCTATTCATAATTTTTCGTTTAATCAAAATGAATGTGCTTGTTTAATTATTGAGAAAGGTAAAAACATAATACGAATTTTCAAAGTGTGTTAACATTTTAAACGCTTTCAAAAAAGATTTCTTTGCGTTATTTAGAAATTCTGTATTCGTGTAAAATATATGTACAATTACTGTTTTATTATTTATTATAATATATCTATATAGTGTGTAATATATTTATCTTTTCAGTTACCGAAATTCAGTGCACATTCGCCATAAGCAATAGTGTGGGCTCTAGGGATTCCATAATAGCTAAGTTAAGGAAACCAGATGGCTTCAAAGGACATCCGCTCTTCGCTGATGATCGAGGCGTAGACGCGGAATCAGATTCTTCGTGTCAGATTAGACAGGACCCCAACGACACAACAGGCCTAAAATATATTCTGAAGATTTTGGATTTTAGTCGGTGTGGAGTGCTTAAAAGAAATGTAAGTAATCCGTCAAATAAATCTAAGATTATGTGGGTTAAACGAGGTGACGCCTTGTTATATCTTTAAATATAGAGCTTAAAATATGATAGTAATACCTGTAAATCTGAAAACTATTTAATACCAAGAGTTATTCAAAAAACACTCGTGAAGTAACCTAACTAGAAAATGAATAATTATGGATTATTTTAGAGCAATTTATACTGAGTGCGACACGGAAAATAAAACATATTGAATATCTTCAAGATACACTTTTTGAAGTTATACTTCTATACGCACGGTCGGCGTTGGAAATTTGCATGAGAGTGAATCTGTGAAACCATTACATATGTAAGATAATTAGTAAGAGAGAGACAGAAGATATATTTTCTCTCTTTCCTCTCTCGAGAATAAAAATGTTCCTTTTATATATATATATATATATATATATATATATTTATATATATATTATATATATATATATATATATTTATATATATATATATATATATATATATATATATATATATATATAGATATATATATATATATAAATATAATATGTATTAATATAATTATTTTAGGCTTTTGTATTTCAAAATAATCACTGTTTGACCGAGGGCTGTCAATTTTGAAATCCGTTAGTATCATGTCTAGTTGGTAAATCCTTTACGTGTTTGGTTCATACGCTGGTGGTTGTGAGTTCGAATCCCAATTATGAATTTCCTTTTTTATTTTTTAAATATTTAAAAACATCACGTTAATATTATTAAATACATGTAATATACTCAAAAATGCTTAATTTTAAAATAAAATGAAAATTTACAACATAATCCGAGTTGTTGGTTTTTTATTTTATCTTCGTAAAGTAAGTTATATATATATATTGGCTGTTTTAAATACTTATGAATATAACATTTTAATTTATATTGTATTATTATATTGAATTATATTGCAGTGTATTTATTGTATTGTATTTTTTTATATTAATAACAAAATAAACAATGAATTTTACTGCAGAGTATGTGTAAAAAAGTTTTTTTGCATTCAACTCCTTTATACATATATAAAAATAAAATATATATTTTGATTAAAATATTGATACAATCCTTCATTTACTATACTCCTATTACAGGTCAAATGTTTATATACAGCAAACGATGCACCATATACCTATATAACTAATTCTTTTTCTCTTTCTGCTCTCTCTTACCTATAGCATTACATATGTAATGATTGTGCAGATTATCTCTCATATAAATTTTTAACAGCGAACGCGTGTATAGAGGTATAACTTCTACCTGTAGTCCCACTTGACTGCCACACCCGTTTTTTTTTTGTGACCCTAATTAAACTTTTCACCCTTCTCCAACCTCCACTATTATTTCTTCTTCTTTTTTAAATGCCGTCCCCTTTAACCCTAAATCACTTCGCCCTAAAAAGTTATCAGCACTCGCGTGTGAGAGTTTCTCCCACACTAGGATCTCTTCAAAGTTTTGTTTAATGTAATAGTTTTCTTTTCTTTATTATATAAAACTAAATTAATATATACATATAAGCGAGGTTCCCACAGCCTCTGCCGCTTCTACTGCCATCGTTTTTTATCCATCCATTCGTTTGATGGCTCCATCTCTCAGTATGTGCCGTACATTTTCTTCGCAGGGCAACTGAAGGCCTTCTCCTTCTTTTTCTTTGTTGTGGTATGTAATTTAAAGCTTTCTTTGGCCATCTGTCTTCATTAATTCGCTTCACGTGAACATACCACACTAGTTGTCTCGTTTTACTTCTGTTTACACTGGAATATACAGTATTTATCCTCGTTCTAGTATCTTCATTCCTGATATGACCTTTTTTGGATACACCACACGCTCTTCTTAGAAAATCCATTTCTACTACTTCTATTCTTTTTCTTTTGTCGTGATCTGCAAAACTTCTGCCCCATAAGTCATAATAGGCTCTACCAAAGTTCGATAGATTGTCAATTTCATTTCTTGTCTAATATGTTTAGACCATAGTAGAGAGTTTAGAATGTTTACCGCTTTTTTTCCTGCTGCGTTCTGTTTTCGATGTCTTCTTTGGTAGTGCCTTCTTTAGTTATTATATATTCGAGGTATTTATATTCATTGCATGTTTTTGTGCTTCTAATTTCTAACTCTGGATCTTCTTCATCATTTCCTATTTTAAGATACTCTATCTTTGAAATGTTTATATTGAGGCCCCATTTTTTATATTCTTCCTTCAGTTTTCTAAACATGTTGTTCATGTCTTCCTCATTATTCGCTACGCCTACCTGATCATCTTCGAACAATAAAGTTGTTAGGCATTTACCACTGCCTATGTCTATTCCCATTCCGGATACTTGTTTCCTCCACTGCTCTAGCAATGATTGAATATATATTTTAAATAAGGTCGGAGATAGATAACATCCTTGTGTAAGCCCCTTTGTTATTAGAAATGATTCAGATATAAACTTTCCTTCTTTAACGACACTTCTTGCATTTTTGTATTTAGTTGCGATAGCATCCACATACTCTTTACTAAGAAATACTTTTGTCAATGTTTAAAACAGTTTTTTTAAAGGTACCGTATCGTATGCCTTTTCTAAATCTACAAATAATAGGTAAATAGATAGATTCCTTGCCTTCCGTTTTTCGATTACCTGCTGCAGAACGAATATACTATCAGTGTTCTTCTTTTACAAAATCCATTTTGTTCTTCTATGTCTTCGTATTTTGATTCTATTCTTTCTTTTATTATTCGACCGTACAACCTCCACACTGAGCTAATAACAGTTATTCCCCTATAATTAGCATTTGCGTTTATCCCCTTATTGCGTTTATCCTGCTGCTTTACCGTTTTTCGATCTTTTGAGAGTATCGCTTAACTCTCCGGTTGTTATCTCAATTATTTGTATATGTTCGGATATTTCTTTCATTTCGATCTCTTGGAATTTACATCTATCCTCTGTCAGTAAAACCTTATAATGGTGTTTCCACTGTTTAGATCTATTAACTGTAAGTTAAATTTTTCCTTTCCTTTCCTTCGGAGAGACTTTATCACCTTCCACGCTTGCCCAACTCTTTTTCCACCCATATACCTATCCACCTCTGCACATTTTCGATCCCACATATCATTTTTACTTTTAAATACTTCTCTATTTACATCTCGATTTAATTTTTTATATATCTTGTAATCTTCTTCCTTTCTCGTTGACATTCATTTCTAACAAGTAGTTTTCTTCTTGTTTACTAACGTTTGCATATTCTCCGACCACCATGCTTGATTGTTTGTTTCATTGTCTTTTTACCCCAAAGCTTCACTTGCAGCCTCATAAATGCATTTTTTAAGTTGCTGGTATAATTCTTCCTCTGATATATTTTCTCGATCCAAATTTGGTAATTTTGTGGCCAGTCGTAATGTGTAGAGAAATTTCGTTGAATCTTCTTTTAAGCTTTCTAGGTTATATTTAGGGATGTTACTTCTTGTCCCTTTTCTATATTCTGTCTTCTTATTCCTTAGGTACCATCTCCTATAAGGAGGTTGTAATCATCACAGCTATTTTCACTTTTGAGATTGCAGCTCTGAACAAGTCGACGGAACTGCAATTATACCACTTTCTCAGATTGTTGAGCCAGGAGATGCGTCTTCTTTCAATACTTCGTTTTTCCTGTATTTTCCCTGCATTATGGTTTGTAGCAACACATATTTATCCCCTCTCATAACGTGGCCGAGATACTGTAACTTTCTTATCTTAATCGTATTGATGATTTCCATTTCCTTTGTAATCTTTATGAGGACCTCAACATTTGTTATTCGGTCTACCCAACTTATTTTTAATATTCTTCGGTAGATCCACATCTCGAATGCTTCAAGTTGATCGCTCACCTCTTTCTTTAAGGTCCAGGCCTCCACCCATACAGCAGCACCGAAACACATAAGAACGTAATATTCTTATTTTGAGTTGCAAACTAAGGTCTCTACTGCATAATACTTTTCTCATCTTATTAAATGTTGCTCTAGCTTGTAAAATTCTCATTTTTAGTTCTTCTGTATACTCGTTATTTTCATTAATAATTGTACCAAGATATCTGTATTTTTTTACCTTTTGTATTGGAACTCCTCTTATGTTTAAAATGTCTTGTTGCTGTGTTTTGGAAATTGTCATAAATTTTGTTTTACTGGCATTAAGCGTTAGTCCGCTTTCCTCACTAGCATTTACTACATTATCTAAAAGTATCTGTAGATCTTGTATACTCTCTGCAATTAGTATAGTATCATCGGCATATCTGATATTGTTGATGGCTCTGCCGTTGACTTTTATTTCAATTGTTACATTTTCGAGTGATTTTTTAATTATTTCTTCCGAATATAGATTGAACAATAAGGGGAAGAGTATGCAACCTTGCCTTACGCCTCTTTTTATCTCTACTTCCTCCGAAAGTTCTTTGCCGACTCTGACTTTTGCTGTTTGGTTAAAGTAAAGATGATATTATTCTTAAGTCTTTTTTGTCAATGTGTTTATCTTTAAGTAACTGTATTCGACGATTGTGTCGGACCTTATCGAACGCCTTATTGTAATCAATAAAACAAACAGAGTGGTTGGTTTACATCCATACATCTTTGCATGAGGACGTTAAATCCAAATAATGCCTCTCGTGTAGGAACCCATGGCATTCCTAAATCCAAATTGGGTTTTAGTGATGTCTTGTTCCACTTTTCTGAAAATTCTTAAATGGATAATTTTTAAGAATACAGATTCCTAGTAGGTTGCATCCATGTAAATCTGTGGATGTCTCTATGTTGAAAAAATCCATTTATAATTTTGAGAGACATTATTTCACAATGTCCAAGACGCATTCCGTTATCATTGGTTATTTATTCCCCATATCTTTCTACGACTGTGTTATTTTTTTCTCTCCCTACTTTGCCGTCTAAATCTCTTAGTATAAAAATTTCACAGTTCAAAAATAAATTAAAAACTAAACTAAAAACTAATCTGCAAAAAATGTTTACGTGAATAA